AACTTCAATAAATTAAGATTATGCACATTGCCATCGTTTTAAATAGAATCACACATCCTATTTTTCCCCCAATAAAGGGTTCTTATGCAGTTGGTCGATATTCAGTGTTTTCAGTAGTCAATATGAACCAGTTACTAACAAAGGCATATTTGAACAGTTCCAAATTTCATATTTGAAGGTTTGGTTTATACATATTTCAAGCATATTTCCAATATTTTTCAATGGAAACATGTTTTCTTGATCGTCTTTTGGAACACTTTTACCAAACATTCATTTTGGTTTTAATAGAGTTGGGAGTGATTCTCATCAGTAAGGATAAAGGTAATTATTTTAACATCATCATCATCATTAATATTTTATTTTTTGCATCGTGTTTGAAGCATATACTGGATTATTTTTCTTTTTATTAAGCTAGCCACATTCTTTTATTGGCTACTTATTTTACTCTGAACACACTTTTCTGAGATGGCTGATTAAACAGAGGTACTGTTTCATGGGTTATGTAGACTTTCTTTTGTTTTTTTTGTGAATTTTGTTTTTGTGAATTTCTTTACCCAGTGAATTTCTGGATGCTCTAGAGCGATCTATATTAAGTTATCCTGTTACTAAGATTTCGAAGGCCTCTTCTCTTAGTGGTTCATACAGCCCTGCTTCACTTGTGACAAGAGAGGAAAATGTTTTTGCCTATACGCATTCAAAATTTTAGACTAATTAAATTCTATAGACCTTTCCTTTCTTTTGCAATAAAAGGGAAAAAGGGTTTAAAGCTGAAGCAATTGCCTGACCATTTATTTTCTTCAAATAAAATTTGGCCTGTTGCTAGAATTCCTGCATGACTCCAATATAGTATTAAAAATAACATACAACATAATGCTTAGAGCACATATTTAGTTCCAAGAATACAGGACCGTTGAAGTCTTGTCACAGGTGCTGTGGTCTCTGTAGGAGTTGGGAAAACATGAACTCAGAAACCTTTCCATTGATATTTTTGTTTAGTTTCCCCCCAGAAACATCACAAAGCAATAATAAACACTGACATTCTGCAATATTTGTACCAAGAAAGTCACTAAAATAGAATTGCAGAATTTTGATGTCAGGTATAACTTTGAAAACATCTGGTTTAATATCATTTGTAAACTGGGAATCTGAGAACAAGGACAAAAATACCCATGGAGACAGAGCCCAAGTCAAAACCATTTCTCCTTAACAACGGGTGATTGGCCTTGTGTACTATTGATTCAGCGCATGCCTGTAAGCCCAATTATGTGCTCATGACTAAGACTATTAAAATGTATCATCTCTCATTCACTTTTGGTAGGAATGTAAATTGGTGTAGCCTCTATGGAAAACAATATGGAGATGCCTTAAAAACTGAAATTGGAAATACCACTTCTAGGTATTTAGTTGAGGTTTTTAAAAACACCAATATAAAAAGATATCTGCACCTCTGTGTTCATAGCCACATTGTTTACAACATCAAGACACAGACTCAATGTAAATGTACGTTGATGGAGGACTAGATGAAGAAATTGCCATATATATACTCAATGAATACTACTCAGCCATTAAGAAAGATGAAATTGCACTCTTTGGTACTGTGTGGGTGGATCTTGACATGATTATGTTAAGTGAAGTAAGTCAGAGAGTGAAAGACAAATTCTTTCACTCATTTGTGTAACTAAAGAAAACTAACTGGCAAAACACAGCAAAAATAACTCTTAGATTGTGTGAAAAATGTGGCAGCTAACTAACAGGTGGGGGAAGTAGGGAAGAAGAGGTTCAATGTGTTAGAGAGTAATCACTCTGGAGCTTGTGTGGTCAGCTTCACTTAGCCACTCTGTCCCTTACCTCCCAGTAGCGAGTCCAAGGTGTTTACCATGAAGGCAGGTCAGGGAACCTGGCACCTCCCCTTCATGGAGGTGCATCTGTAACATATTTATCCTGCAACAACAATCTGATGATTTACAAAGGGAAAGGGAGGAGAAAGATATTTCTGAGAACACGAGCATCCTAGAGTCTGCTGCTAGTACACTTTATTGCTTACTATCGGAGACTAAACTTCTATACATGAGCCGAGAGAAAATGAGAATTAGACCAAAACAGCAGGCCTTCAGGTGCAAAGCCTCAATTTAATTAGAACACCTTCCATCTTTTGAATATATACCAATCTCTCTCTTAAATGATTTTGGTGGAAACAACTCTCAGTTTAAAGACACTCTCCATTGTCTGTGAACCATTCTAGCCAATGGTCATGTGCTCATTGCGCTGACAGTCAGCCACTGACTCTTGTGTCCTCACAGTTGTGGTCCTGTTCCACCAATTCTTTGTTAATTTACCAAGAATCATTTGTGTTTTTCCAAACTCTTTTTGTGTAAATTGCATTTGTTTTTGTAAGCATAATTTTAATTAAAGTTAACTTTTGAAATATGATTCAACACAGTATGAAAGCAAAAGAAAGTTATTTCTATAAAAACTAAGTTACATGCATTGAAAAGAAACAGGAAAGGCAGGTCACTGAAAATATTGCTCCTGAATTAGATGGAAAAAAAATTGGGAATAATATTGAAAAGAGGATTGACTATGCATTGAGATTGTTTTGCAAGATAAGTTCTTGCTCCACTTTAAAGAAACTGAGTTGAAGTCAAAGATGATGCACTAAGGGTGAGGATTATGCAAGAATGATTACACAGAGCTCAATCAACCAGTAGTCAGAGATAAGGTCTTGGCCCTACATTAAAGGGAATATATCTTTACTTGGGATATGTCAACATAGAGTTTCTGAAAAGATGTGTGTGTGTGTGTGTGTGTGTAATGATGCTATGTTTTAATTGACTTTTTACATTGATTATCCAATATCATATCTTGATTCCATTAGCTAAAAAAGTGTTCATTGTATAGAGTCCTGCTTAAGATATTATACATAAGAAGACAAACAAAAAGGGAAAAAAAGAAAGAAAAAGAATCTAATGTTTCTTTTCCTTAATATCCATATTTTAAAGAATTTTTGCATAGAAGAAATGGGGTATAAACTAGAGGTGCAGGGGGTGAGAGGATTCATCAGAGACAGAGTGGGGAGCAGAACAGGTGGATTTACTAAAATGCATTGCCAAGGGGAGCAGGGTGTGAGGCAGGAGAGGTTCTGCTGCACCATATGTGGGTCACCTCCCTGGCCAGGGATTGAACTCAGGTCCCTGGTGGTGATAGCCCTAATGCTTAACCCTTAGACCACCAGGGAGGCCCCCAACATCCAAATTTTTATAAACTTATACTTTTATAAAATAAAAAATATATGACAATGTGAAAATGTTCATTTCAATTTCTAAACTTATTTTGTCTCAATCTCTCTGCTGACCTATAACAAATTGTGTTGTGATTTGCATAGGTCTGTCAGCGGTACTTAGAGCAGCATTAGACTACTGTGCTTATGTAACCATAAAGCCCCAAGTCTTGCCTTGGAAGGTGTCATGAAACAAAGAGCCAGGTTCATTCAACCCAGACAGTTTAAATCAGAGGGATACATTTTGGACTGTACCAGGCACATGATAAGCCTGAAATTGCCTCCATGTCCAATGTAGGGATATTATACAGATGCAGGGACAAGGGAAAGGGCCTGAGTGTCATGTTTTAGCTTCCACACCCACACAAAACTCCTTTGTACTGAAACCCTCATGTTCTTGTGTATGTTTAATACCTAGCTTTATTTATGCTTCTCTTGATTTATTTTTGACTCCTGGTATCTACCCAGTAAGGCATGTTTTAACCTCAACCTTGTCCTGTGTTAGCAGTTGCTAGAAGGCAGTGTTAAATAAGCTGTCTCATGAATTGTATCAGTGGGGATGCTAAAGTTGAGAGAGAGCAATTGATTCATCCAGTATTACTCAAGTCAGAAGAAGATAAACTAAAACTCAATTTTTTTGTTTTGAAGGATGATAACTCTTCAATTCAATGTGGCTTACTCTGCACCTACTTTTTCCAGGTATTATACCAGGGTACAGCTGCAGAGATGAATAAAATTTATTCCCTGTCCCACCACAAAGAGCTCAGATCATCTTGAATAACATCAAGAAACATCCTGATAATTGTAATTCATTGTAAGAAGTGATTCAATAGCAGAATGGTGTGCTGTTGGAGCATGGAGAACAGAAGGAAATTATTGTACTTCAAGAGGTAAGAGAATTATGAAAGAATTCATAGAAAATCTAAGACTTGAGAAGGATCCTTACAAAAGTGTTAAATACCTGAAGGAAGAGAGTGGAATTGCCATTCAAGGGAAGATGTAACATGTACACAGTCTCTTGTCATGCCACCCATCGGCTACTCAAAGGGGCATGATGTGTTTAGTGGGACGGGTGAGGACAGTTTTCCAAAGATGATGAGGTAGTGAGCTGTGTTTCATACTCCTAGAAATGTAGGTGAGTTCAGTTAGAGGATCTTAAGTGTGAAGAATGCTAGCTTTTGTGAAGAGCTTTTGTAGAGTAGAGATATGATTGTTTCGTTTTGATTTTTCCTCTGCTAGCATGCCATTTTTTTCTTTATTAGTACACAAGAATGCTATGTTATTTATGTCAAAGGGTTATTGGGAGAATCAGGTTGTTATTTAGAAGTTGTGAGCTTTAAAATTGCATAATCTGTAAGGCATTTTGAACTATCATCAAGTCTTTATACCTTTCCTTCCATCTATGACTTAACAGGTAGGGTATGGTGGAGGAAGAAGGGAGATATAAACCAAAAATGAGAAAATATTTATAAGCATTACCATACAACTGCTAGATTATCTGGGGCAAGTGCTATATAAGTGGTAAAGAAGCACAGAATGACTGTGTTGTTATTATCTTTTATTTAATAGATGATTCCGATCTAGAGTCTTGGATGTGAACTAGGGGCAGCAAGTGGATGGGAAAGAAACTGTGAAGGCAGCATGGTACCCTGAGATGCTGGACCATCTATGCGCTCATCCAAGTCTGAGAAGCCAATACAGGTGTCTATTATGTCAGGAGTCATCAACTCTGGAGGAAAGGTTTCCTGCTCAGTAGTTTCTTTAGTGCTCCTTTCATGTCCTTGTTCCTTAGACTATAGATGAAGGGGTTCATCATGGGGGTTACAATAGTATACATGATGGCAGCCACCTTATCCCTTTCTGCTGAGTAGGAAGAAGAGGGGAGAAGGTAGACTCCAACGATGGACCCATAAAAGAGGGACACAGTTGACAGATGGGAACCACAAGTAGAGAATGTTTTCCACTTCCCCTTGGCTGAAGGAACCCCAAGTACAGTGTGACCAATAAGGACATAGGAAACAAGAATGAAGATGAAGGGGAGGGAGACAAATGCTTCCCCAATGATGAGGACTGTCAAGTCATTGACTCGGGTATCTGTGCATGCGAGCCTTAAAACAGGCTCCAGGTCACAGAAGAAGTGTGGGATTTCTCTCTTATCACAGAAACTCAAGCGGCCCAGCAGACTGAGATGCAGTACTGAAATAAGGTTGGCAATGACCCATGGAATCGCTACTAACAGGACACAACGCTTGGGACTCAGTAACGTGGCATAGCGTAATGGGTGGCAGATGGCAATGTACCGATCATATGCCATGGCTGCCAAGAGGAAATTATCTACGTCCACCAAAAACATAAAAAAATACATTTGTGTAAGGCATCCCGCAAAGGAGATGGTTGGGCTCTGGCTTTGGATGTCTGCCAACATTTTGGGCATTGTAGTGGTTGTGAAGCAGATGTCGGAGAAGGATAGATTAGCAAGGAAAAAGTACATAGGGCTGTGGAGGTGAGTGTCATTGATAATAGCCAGGATGATAAGTAAGTTTCCTATCATGGTCACCAGGTACATGCACAGAAATAGCATAAAGATGACCTGCCGCTGTTCAGATCCCACTGCGAGTCCCAGGAGGAGAAATTCAGAGAGAGTTTGATTTCCCTGGTGCATGGTTCTTCTGTGTCTAAAAAGGGGGAAAAATCAACTTTACTGTAAAATCATAACATGACACAAAAATCAGCCAGGGGACATTGTATTAGAACTGAATCAGGCCTCAGAACCAGAGTCCTGGGTCAAATTCTCTGTCTACTGACATGCAAGCTCCACTAGGGCATGCATTTATCTGTTCTGCTCAATGCTGCACAAGAGTGGTAATGACAGTGCTCAGCACACAGTAGGTGTTTAGTAAATGTTGCTCATATTTATAGATGGCTATGTGCATAAATGAAAAAAAATTGAATTTACCACTCACTATCGTCATGACTTTGTTACCTATGCTTTTCTAAGGGCATTTTGTCAATTTTAAAAGGTGGAAATACTTTATAGGGTTATTATGAAGAACTGCAGGGACATGTCTGTATTTTAGCTATTGTTGCACAAATATTTGCTGCTATCTTTCACTGATTTGGAAAAGAACCACAGATTGAAAAGACAAAAAGGAACCTTCAGAGAACATCTAACTTAGCTTCTGTCTTTGGGCAGCTGAGTATTCAATATGTACGTGACAGTTTAGCTAAACATACTTTAGTGTTCCAGAAACAGAGAATTTACAGTCCCCTTCCAGCTCCAGCCAACATTTTATCCTTGAAATAATTAACTCTTCCTTGCCTTTTTCCTGAAATATTCTCAGTTTTCATATTTCAACAAGAAAAAGTAGTCATTTGCATTAAACGTTGCTGAAACATCATCAAGGGATATTCATTAAATTAATATCATTGTATTGTTACCATTGAGGTAATATCTAGTGTCCTCAACAAGACTGTTTTTAATGACATTGACTGGGCATAAGCCAAGACAAAGAATAGGGGTAACACTTTAAGAGTGTTTATTGAGGGCTTACTATGATTTTTTTTTACATTATATCATTTTTTAATTTTATTTTTATTTATTTATTTATTCATTCATTCATCCATTTATTTATTTATTTATTTATTTATGTATAAAAGCACTGGGTACAGTCAGAAGCGCGGGAGGGTGAGAGAATTCACCAGAGCCAGAGCGGGGAGCAGAGCAGGCAGAAGGACCGAAGCACACTGCTGAGGGGAGCAGCAGGCGGCAGGAGAGGTCTGCGCGCCATATGGGACCCTCCTCCGGTGGCCGGGGAGCAGCTGGGGATCGAACCAGAGCTGCAGAGGCTGCGGGCAGCTTAGCAACCCAGCGCTCAACCGCTGCACCACTGGGGAGGCCCTAATTTTATTTTTAAATAATTTATTTTTTCTCTTTAATAGGATATTTTTTATTTAAATATTTTATTTTATATAATTCTTACGTCTTTTTTCATCTTTGCACAATGTATGCATTTTCATTTTGGTTATATTCCCCATACAATTGCACCCCCCCCTTATTTTGACTCTAGTCCTTCATTTCTCCACCCCTCCCTCCCCCCCACCCTGTAGTGTGTCTCTAGTTTATAGTTGCTTGTTGATTTTGATTTTCACTTTGTGTTGATTAGTCTTTTTCCTGGTCTCTTATTTAGGTTTTCTAAATTCCTGCTATGAGTGAGACCATCCGGTATTTGTCTTTTTCTTTCTGACTTATTTTGCTGAGCATGATCCCTTCCAGCTCCATCCATGTTGCTGCAAACTGCATGTGTTTAGCAATGGAAGCAACCCAAATGCCCAAAAAATAGATGACTGGACCAGAAGATGTGGTACATATACACAATGGAATATTACTCAGCAATCAAAAGAGGGTTTACTATGTTGCAGACACTCTGCCAAGGCCTTTACATGGACTATCTTATTAAATATTGACTACAACCCTATGAGTTAATTAGGACTATTAATAAGATAATCCATTTACAGATGAAGGGTTGAAGAAGTTAAATAACTTCATCAAAATGAAGCAGCTAATATATTGGAGTCAGGATTTTGAATTCAGTGTCGGAGCACAAGTACTCATAACCAACAGTTAAATGGAGCAACAAAGTATATTGCATATTGCACACAATGTATGAAAATAATAATGTGATATGTTACATAATGTATTGCTATATTTTCACTAGACTGCTAATGTGTTCATGTATGTGAAGGGCATTGCCCATGTTCTAAGTATCTAAGCTTGCTCAAAGTCACAAGGTAGTAGGTGTCAGAGTCATAGTCTGTGTAAGTTCAAATGAGATCAAACTAGAAACTTTGTCTTTACTTATCCAAATTCACACCTTTTGTTGTGGTAAGATCCATTTTATACACTTGCTACTTACTCAAAGGTCTACGTGTCTTCATACCACCTTCCCAGTCTAACACGACTGGACTGCCAGTGTATAAATTCACAAAATTCTGCAAGTTTGCTATTTAACTTTGTAGTCTCTGAAAAAAATAAAGACGTTGGCAGCATTAATGAAGAGTTGGAGCAAAATTACAAGAGGAATGTTATACATACTTAACAACACAATTTTCCCAAGTATTATATCAGAACTCATTTGCATACTAACAAATGTGTTTAATTATAAATCAGGCCGGATCAGGTCTGGGGAGACCTCTGCTAGGCAACATTTAGACATTTCATATGCGCACAATGTCCTGAAAATAATAAAGTGGTAAGCTATTATGTACATTAATCCAGGCTTTTCATTAGTGCAGATTTTATTAGCAAATTTTGACAGTGCAAAATAGTGCTGAGCACTGTCATTACCACTCATGTACACTAATTTGACCTTCTAGGCATCATACTATGTAGCCCCATTTAACTGTTTGTTTTCATCTACTTTCCTCAAGCTGGCACCATCTTTGACAACCAAGTGCATAGGTATCTTCAGTCTTTCAAACTTTATATTTAAGTCACTAATTCAGTACACTACTCTTGCAGTCAACATGGGGAGCAAACATTTGTGTTGGGATTGGGGTCTCCTCCTGTAGAACTTACCCGCATGCCTTGTAGATATTTGTAAAGCTGTTCCAGTAAGAAACAATTCCACTGCATCCACCTACAAAAATTGGTGATTATTCCAACCACAGATGTGAATCTTTCCTCTTCCTCATATAGAAAAAAGTAGAAGAGGGCTTAATAGAACTGAAAACCTCAACTGATGGTGATGTTTTGGCTGTTGGATTTAGAAAAGAATCACCCTAGGGCTCAGGACACAATTCTCTAGGCTCCTTATTAGAATCCACTCTCAATTCATCCTCTATGGACCAGATCCTCTTATTGGTAATTGCTGAATTCTTGAGATTATAATATGATATATATATTTATATATTATTTGTATATATATATAACAGATGTATTATATATATTTATATGCAAACTTATGTGTGTGTACATATGTATCTATGCAAATAATATGCATTATGCAAAACTTATGTCCTTATTGTATTTTTACTTTCGTTGGAAAATAAAACTAAGTTAACTACTTTTGGAGAAAAATTTCATCTTCCTTTATTTTTTCACCTCCATGTAATCCAGTGGGAAATATATTCAAACAAACATGATATTTGCAGAGTTTTAGTAATGAAAGCAACACTACACAGTGCTCATTATTTGTCAGGTACTATTCTCAGATATGTTTATATATATACCTACACATACACATATATATGCATACATATTTGTTCTAAGTCCTTTGTGTATATTAACACATTTAATTCATTCTTACAATAAAGTTATGAGGTAGGTAAAACTGTGAACAGATGAGGAAACTGAGGACAAAAAATTTAAGTGATTTACCCAAAAGTTACACAATGAGTTGATAGTACAGTCATGGTTCATACAAGAAGCTCTTGTTCTTGATCCCAGTTTCTGTCTTTTTCCCTTTATTGAGGTAAGCCTAAACACTGTATATGTTTCGGCTGTACAATTTTTCACCTCAGCAACTATATATGTGTTTGTGTATACACACACACACACACATATGTATATCAACTGTGACTTTCATCAAATGTCCAGTCACATTCCACCACTAACCATTCAGCACAGTCCACCCATCCTCCCTTCCTTTCAGTAATCACCATTCTGTTGTCAGAGTCTAAAGATTTGTTTTATTTCTTTGCTTTTTTTTCATTTCATATTCCACAAATGAGTGAGTTCATACTGTATTTGTGTTTCTCCTTCTGACTTATTTCACTTGCCAAAATGCCTGTAAGGTCCATTTATGTTGTTGAAAATGATAAGATCTCATCTTTTTAATGGTTGAGTAGTATTCCATTATCTATATATCACATTTTATTTATCAACTCTTCATTATTGGGCACCTGAATTGTTTCCATATCTTGGCCATTGTGAACAATGCTGCAATGAACATAGATATGCATTTATCTTTTCAAATTACTGTTTTCATTTTCTTCAGGTAAATACCTAGAAGTGGAATTACTGAATCATAGAGTAGTTCTGTTTTTTAATTTCCTGAACACCCTCATAGTGTTTTTCCTTTTTCTCCACATCCTCACCAACACTTATTATTTTTACATTTTGAAAATAGTCGTTCTAACCAGCGTGAGATGCCATCTCATTGTGGTTTTGATTTGGTTTCTCAAATGATAGGTGATATATGACATCTTTTTATGTGTCTGTTGACCATCTGTATGTCTTTTTTGGTTAAATGCCCATCTTCAGTTCCTCTGCACTTTTTAAAATTCATTTTTAATCCAGCTGTAGTTTGTTGTCATTGCTGTTTAGTTGTATGAGTTGTTCACGTATTTTGGATATCAATCTCCTGTCTCATGTGGTGTGCAAATATCTTCTACTCAATACACTGCCTTTTTGCTTGGACATGGTTTCATTTGCTCTGAAGAAGCTTTTTAGGTCAATGCAGCTCCATTTGTTTATATTCTTTTTTGTTTCTTCTACTATTGGAGACAAATCCACAAAGATATCACTAGGGCCGATGTCAAGTGCTTATTATGTATGTTCTTTTCTATGTATTTGTATGGTTTCAGGTTGAATATTTAGTTTCATTTTTTTGCATGTGGTCATTCAGCTTTCTCAGCAGCATTAAAATTTTCTTTTGTATTGTA